CAACCTCCACAAATGGAAGAACATCCCATGCTCATGGACTGGAAGGCTTAACATATAGTAAAGATGACAATCTTACCCAAAGTACTTTACAAGTTCAATGCTATTCTGATTCAAATACCAACAACCTTCTTCAAAGAACTGGGAAAACTGATCACCAGTTTCATATGGAGAGGGAGGAAGCCCGGGATTAGCAGAGAACTCCTCAAGAAGGACCAAGTCAGAGCACTCACTTTACCTGATTTTAACCCTACAACCCCTGAATTTTTAATTTCAGGAAAAAAATTGTTTTTATTCTTTACTCTCATAGTTATCAATATATATTAATATATACATTTAATTAAATGTTACGAAAACACCACGCTTGGCCTTTTAGGGTTAACACCTACTACACATCCACAGTGGTCAAAACAGTGTGGTAGTGGCACAATGACAGATACTCAGACTAGTGGAAAAGAAGAGACAGCCCAGAAATAAAACCATCAGCATATAGAAAACTGATTTTATAAGGGTCCCCAAAACATCAAGTGGGAAGTGGATGCCCTTTTTAACAAGTGGTACTGGAAACAATAGATATCTACATGCAGAAAAATGAAACAAGATGTTTACCTCGCCCATCCACAAGAACAAACTCAAGGTGGATCACAGACCTAGTAGTAAAACACCAAACCATCAGGACCATGAACGAAGGAATCAGGACTAACCTGAGATCATTGGCCCAGGGAAGTCATAGGCTCACTGCAGTAGGGAAGGGTACACACAGGTGAACTGGAAATCGACAAATGGGATTTAATAAGAATAAAACACCTGTGAACTTCAAAAGACTTCACCAAGAGGGTGACAAGGTAACCCACAGACTGGGAGGGGATTTTTAGTAATGACACATCAGACAAAGGGCTCATTATAAAATACACAACACCCTCATGGCCTGCAAAAAAAGGAAAACAGTCAACCCCCTCAGGAAGTTGGCAAAATAACTGAAAAGAATTTTCACTAGTGAGGAGACCCGTATGGCCAACAAACGCATGAGAAAGTGTTCCCGTTCATTAGCCATAAGAGAAATGCAAATTTAAAAATACATGAGATATCACCTAACACCCCTGAGGCTAGCCCAAATCAGAAAATCAGAGAGCAACAAGAGTTGGAGGGGCTGTGGTGAAATAGGAACTCTCCTCCACTGCTGGTGGTCCTGTAGATTTTTGTACAGCCACTGTGGAAAGCAATCTGGAGATACTTAAAGAAAATGGAAATTTTGATCTACCTTATGATCTAGCCATCCCTCTACTGGGCATATACCCAGAGGAGGTAACAAAAAAACAAAAACAAAAACATGATCAGTCATCTGCATTCCAATGTTTATTGCGGTACAATTAACAATTGCAAAGAGTTGGAAATGACCTAAATTTCCATCGATAGACAAGTGGATTAGTAAACTCTGGCACATACATGCAATGGAGTACTATGCAACACTAAAAAGCACCGATGATCACATGAAACACATCGTTTCATGGGAAGAATTGGAAGGGATTATGTTAAGCGAGGTAGGCCAAGCTCAAAAGGACAGGTATAACATGAGGCCCCTGAGGTTAAGTACAATCAGCACAGCAGGAATTGAAGAAAAGACACTTATCTCACAACATATGGCTGGAAGCATAGGCAATCGGGGGTGGGGTGGGGGGTGGGGGGTGTCAGACCAAATCCAGGGAGGTACATGTGAATCCAACGTAAAGAAGGGGAAAGGTGGAAGGAGGAGGGAGAATAGGGGTGGGGAGAAACTAAGATGATGAAATGGGGGGAAGAGGGCACTAACCCACCCAGGGGCAGAGTATTGGTTGTGTCTCCACAGAATTGGAGTGTGCATACAGACCCCACCACGGGGCACCAGACCTGGAGGACAAAGTAACACATGGAGAATGCATGACAAGAATGGACTACAGGGCCAGCCCCAACCAGAACCAGCCTGACCCCCACCCTGGAAGTGTGTGCCGCAGAGAATGACACTAGACCTTCTGGTGGGGCAAAGGAAATGACCTACCATACCCAGATGGAAGCAAACCAAGAAGGAAAAAGAGAAAGGGGCAGTCAGCCTAGAATGCATATAGGCACACCAAGCCCAGAGGATGAGGTCCCTGCACGGAGCTGCTAAGGCACAGAGAGGACTGTGGGACTGCCAACAACTCAAGCCATGTTGTCCCCTCACTGGAGCATACAGAGACAGGGGACACTAATAGGAAACACGGCAGGGAGACTGTGGGGGAATGGAGCATAACAGATCAGCAACTGGAGTAAAGTCGAGTCACAGAGTCCCAAGAATAGAGTTCGGGTGAGGAGGGACAGCCCCAGGATCTCCCTCAGGACCAGGGGGGAGGGTCTCATGGGGACCAGCAAACAGACTTGGACCTATGTAGGGTTTGTTTGTTTTTTTTTCTTTTCTCTTACCTTTTCTTTCTTCAACTGTGTATTTTCTTATTGTTCGGACTAGGACAGGAATGGTTTGCCTAATTATAATGGTTGGACCATGGGAGGGAAGCCCGGGGAGAAGGCCATAGGGCCAATGGTCCCGGAAGGTAGAGGGGGAAGGAGGTGGGGAGAAGGGTGTGGTGAGCGGGCAGCATCTTGGACAGGGGAACAACTAGGGAAGTGGGACATCTAGGAGAGGGTAGAGATCCTGTGAGTATTAGAGCAACACCAAGCTAGTGGAGAGGAAGCACT